CCAGGCCCTGAATTCAAGCCCCGGGACTGGCAAAAAGCAAAAAACAAAACAAAAAAACAACAACCAAATTCTTCTTTTACTTTTGTATAATTCTGAGGGAGCTAAGTAAGAAGATTTCATTCTATGTTGCTGACATGCTCCTAAATGACCAAGAGACAATCTGATTATCTTAGATACTGCATTTGTTTTCTGTTGCTGCATATTAACTTGTCATATATTTAGTGGCTTAAAAACTATAAACTTAGCCGTTCATAGTTTCCCTGGCTGAGAAATCTGGACCTGGGCAACATTTGTTTTCTGCTCAAGTTTTTCCAGGGCTGCAGCCAAGTTGAAAGGGATGTGTTCTTCTCTGCAGGTACCACTGGTGAACTTATTTGGTTGGTTTGTAGCATTTATTTCCTTGAGGCTCTAGGCCTTGAACCACTCTATGCCACCAGGGGTTTTCCTTAGACCCTTGTCATGGTCCCTTCATAGTCCCTGTCAATATATGTCATCTTTCTGTTTCCAGCAGTTGCATCTCTTTCTTCAGAAAGCAACATAACTAAATAACAAAGTGTCGCATCTTAATGACTTTGAGTTCCTAATTGTTGTAATCAAAATTTAAAGTGCTCCGTTATATAGAATGACTTGACTTACATGGTATGTACAAAGTTGAGTGCTTATTATAATGAATTTTATTGAAAAATTAAATAACACATTAAGTACAATTTTTTTTTTTACCTGTGGAAGGAGGAATTTGTATACTTCTTATGAAAGTACCTCTGGGCTAGCAGCATCAGCTCTACCTCAGGATTTCAGCATGTTAATTACTTGGTGTTCCTTCATCTGTAGAATAGGAACACAGGGCTCTATTTTCCTTATCCTTGTTTTTTAAAAAGTTTGAATAACAAACTTTGTTTAAAAGACCAGACAAGGGCTGGGAAGGTGGCTCAGTGGTAGTGCGCTTGCCTTGCATGCATGAGGCCCTGGGTTTGATTCCTCAGCACCACATAAGCAAAAAGGAAAAAAGCCAGAAGTGGCGCTGTGGCTCAAGTGGTAGAGCGCTAGCCTTGAGCTGAAGAGCTGAGGGACAGCACCCAGGCCCAGAGTTCAGGCCCCACGACCAGACCCCCCCACACCCCCAAAAAAAGACCAGACAAAACAAATGGCCTGAGGTCATCAGCTGGGGAAGTCACAAAGCACCAAATAAAGTTAGAGGCCTTGGAACTTTTGGCCAGTCTGTAGGATGAACAGAAAGGAACAATCTAGAACATTTAGTAATGGCTCTCAGGTGGGAGCTGTGGACTGGGCCAGGCTGGGCAGTAAGGGGAATGAGGTCCTGTGGCTCTTTTTTTTTTGATCTGGTCGTGGGCCTGAACTCTGGGCCTGGGCGTTGTCCCTCAGCTCTTCAGCTCAAGGCTAGCGCTCTACCACTTGAGCCACAGCGCCACTTCTGGCTTTTTTTTTTGCTTATATGGTGCTGAGGAATAGAACCCAGAGCCTCAGGCATGCAAGGCAAAGATCCTGTGGATGAGGGGCAGATAAATGGAGACCATTCAGCCTTCCAGGTCCTTTTCCTCTTTGGGCTACTTGGTTTCCTCTTTGATTTATTGTTCCAAAGATAAGCTCACAAACCAGTCCATGTTAAGGGTATAGCAACTTACCCACTAAGTGAAAACACTGAAACATTCAGTTGTTAATAAAAATTTCAGGCTTGAGGATGTTGACAAGATGTACGAAATGTATGAGGTAATGCCTGTCATTCACCAACTGCAATTCTGAATCCCCTTGCTAAGTGTCTCTCCCGAGGTCTTGGCCCAGGATCCTTCAGAAGATGAAGGTCACTAACATATCTTTGGTAGAGGCCAACAGGCATCTGAGCTCCAGGTCCTGGGAGAGAACTCCCAGCTCCTGTCACTGAAGTGTGCTGTGGCTAGTTAGTATTTGGAGCACAGTGGCTGGTCAAATGCCCTCTCAAGTTGGCAGAGCACCTTTCAGGTACTGAAGATGTCTCAAGCATTTCCATTTCAAGAGGCTGCAACTCAAGTGCCTTTAGCAGAGCCTTGAAGGCAAATATGACACATAAACCTCAACAGAGAAGGAGAAAGGGTCCTGGTGTGTACGCATTACATACATATCATGGAGAACAGCATAATGAACACCCCCAATTGTTATTTGGAAAGGGAGAAAGAAAAATGGTAGGGCAGGATTATAATGGAGGTGCTACATCACACTGTTAACTTCCCTTTTTTATTATTAATGGATGTGACTTCCAAACTAAAAAAAACCCAAAAAACCAAAAAAACATAAGCTGGGAGAAGCTGGTGGCTCATGCCTCAATCCTAGCTACTCAAGGAGGCTGAGATCTAAGGATCAGCATTTAAAGCAGGAACGTCCGTGAGACTCTTGTTTCCAATAAACTAGGCCAGTGCTCAGGCCCTGAATTCAAGCTCCAGGACTGGCACAAAAATAAACATACACACAAATGTAACAGCATAAGAAAAAAAAAGAGAGTGTTTGGGTATTAGCTGAAGATGGAGGGCTACTGTCAGGAATGGGTGAAGAGACAGAGCCTTGGTTTATTTGAGGGAGAGTTTCTTGCTGAGGTAGGGGCACGGGATGAGTGAGCAATGGTTATGACATCAGAAATCCTAGGGATGTTATCTTGTGAGTATCCTGGAGAGGGAGCTTCCTGTTTGTCTCCCTTTATCCTAATCCCTGCTGGGGACCTTGGAGCAAGGGGGTATTAAGGTGTTGGTGAGTGATCTGAACCTGTAGCCTTCAGATTCCTGGAACAGACCTCTGTCTGTGGGCAGAATCCTCACAGGGATCCCCAGGTTGGCAGGGCTTATTGAGTGCTGGGCATGAGGAAGGAGCCCAGGGAGAATTGGGCAATTGTGCCCTTTCCCAGGGAGGAGGAACCGATAGGCTTATTCACAGGGCGGGTTCCCAGGTGCTCTCAGCCTGAGTCTGATTTCAGCTGAGTTCCTCTTGGAGCTGTGGACAGAGCCTCAGATCCTTTCTTCCTTCTCTCCTCAATCCTTTTTTTTTTTGGATACCAGATTTAGGGAGAAGCCAGAGCCTGAGAGTTCCGTTCTGGGGAGGCAGTGCCCTCTAGTGTGAGGGAGAGGATTTTGGCCGCGGAGGAGGAGGCACCAGCTGGAGGAAGGGCAGAGCCTACAGGCCAAAGCCAAAGAGAAGGAACTGCCAGCCAATGAGGGGCGAGCAGACTACACCCTGAGCTGCGGGACCGAGACAGCACAGGTCCTCAGGTATTTCTTCTAAGTGTATTTCTTCTTCAGATGCCTTCTCTCGAAGAAAGAGCTGGATCCAGTTAGGTGAAAATGTAGCCATGATGGAGAAAGGCTCTTGTGGTTCTTCCCTACCCACCCCAACAATTAGGAAAATTTTATCTAGTCTCAATTTTCTAAATTAGCACACTTTGATTTTTTTTTTTTTTTTTTTTGCCATAGCTGTGGGTCTTGGGGCTACCTTTCCACAAATTTTACTTTTTCTGTTGAGTTTGAATTTTCATCTGTATCTCCCCCCCTTTCTGATAGTTCTTTATTTTTAAATTTATTTATCTATTTATTTGGTGACAATTCTGGGGCTTGAACTCAGGGGCCTGGGTGCTGTCCATGAGCTCCCCCCCCCCCCCCCAACCTCAGGGCTAGCACTCTACCCACTTGAACCCCAGCTCCACTTCTGGGTTTTGGGGTAGTTAATTGGAGATAAGAATCTCATGGACTTTCCTTCAAACTATGATCCTCAGATCTCAGCCTCCTGAGTAGCTAGGATTACAGGAATGAGCCACTGGGCCCTGGTTTGTTATTTCCTGTTTTAAGTGAAGAGGCTATACAGCGATGTGAATCAGGGTTCTATCCTGTCTTGTCAACTCAAGGTTTGCAGTTGGGTTGAGAGGGAGGAGGTGGAAGACATTATCTGTTCTGCTACTGGAAAGGCATGGCCTGGAATCAGCCTTCAGCCTTCAGTTCTATGAGATAGCCATTGTGAATTAACACTCAAGGTTGTGGATGTAGCGGGATTAAGTGACCAGGGAAAACCTTCATTGACTAGAATTAATGGTGGCTTCCAGTAGCGTTCAAGAAACCAGCTCCTTTTTTGAGAGGCTTGAGTTTGGGAAAGTTAATCCTTACCTCTCATTGGACTAATGAGGAAGGCTGAGCACTTTCTCACATAGCTTTTAGGTGTCTGCCTCATTTGTTATGGGCTCATTTTGTCTTTGGGGCACATGTTTACTGAATGAATGCTATCCTGGGTGTTATTCACTAAAATTTCTTGTTACAATCAAGGAAGATTTCATATGCTCAAATCTAAGGTTATGAAAATATCCTAAAAATAGGGTTCATTTATAATGGCTACTGGAGATTTTAGAAATTGCGATTATCTACCCCAGAAAGATGAAGATTAGGCACTGGACTCCCAGTGAGGGACCAGGAGTTTCCTGAGATAATAAGAGGAGGATGGGGAGAGGGCTAGCTAGACACTGATATTAGCTTCCTCACATTTGTGTGTGTGTGTGTGTGTGTGTGTGTGTCTGTACTAGGGCTTGAACTCACTACCTGGGCTCATCTTTTAGCTTTTCACTCAAGGCTAACACTCTATCATTTAAGCCACCATTCTACTTCTGGCTTTATGGTGGTTAATTGAAGATGAGTGTCTTAGGGACTTTCCTACCTGGTCTGACTTTGAACTTCGATCCTCAATTCTCAGCTTCCTGAGTAGATAGGATTACAGATGTGAGCTGCTGCTACCCGGCAGCATCTTCACCTTCATTGTGCATCTGGTGTGGGCAGAGGACCTGAGAAAACTGAGCCTTTGCCACTAAAGAGGCTGTGGTGTGATGGGTAGGCAGACAGGGGCACCATGTAGTAGGTTGGTGCTTTGGTTGTAGAGTGAGAACGGTCATGTTAACTGTCAGCATCTTTCCAGGCAGGTCTCTGTCCCTCTTAGGACCACCATCCACATTTTCTCCGTTGGCATCCTGGAACTCTGTGAGGATGTTGCCCTGGCTTCTTATCTTCTCTGCTTTGGGTCTCCGTGTCTGGGGTAAGTTTTCTTTCTTTGTATCACAAGTGCTTTTGATGATGGACAAGTAACTGTCCTTCAGTTGAATATTAGAAATATACCTAGTGCTCTACCTGGTGTAGCTAGCTAGCAATTTGGAACAGTTCTGGAGTTGTCATATCTTCAGGCAAATTCTTTTTTTTGTATGTTTTTTTTATTGTAAAAATACTGTACAGAGGGGTTACAGTTACATGAGCAAGGTAATGAGTACATTTCCTATCGAGCATTGTTGTTCAGGAAAATTCTCGTTCTGCTATTTGCTATGATCCCAAACATGGAGACTTCTTTACTTATACTGATAGAAAGATAGTGCTGAAAGCTGGCGGTGCATATTACAGGCATGAGCCAATGGTTTATCTTCATTTTTGTATTAGTCATAGTTAAACACAGAACTATGGTCTACATTTGTAAATGAATTCAAATTCCTTAAGAGTAGCAATTCCATTTACTACATCAAAATATTTCTGAGAGTTTTATACTTATGGTAAGACACATCACAAATGCTCATTAAGTAAATGCTATTAAATTAAAATGGACATCTGTTTGGTGATTCTCAAATGCTGGACAAAGGCTATAATTTCCGGGATCACTTCTGTAGTCCATTGAATACTGGACATGTTTTCATGTTGCCTGATATACATAGCTGCTGTTTAGAAGCAATAATATAACTTTGCCTTCTGCTTCTTTGGCAGCTAAATTTAATAGGATTACTTGAAGTTAGTGTTGGAGAAACTTACAAGCCAGGGAATACATAGCTAGCCTTTCTGAGGCCCTGATCAAGAAGTAGCTTGCCCAAGTGAGGCAGTGACTCATGCCCTGCCCTCACCCCAGAATGAATCCTGGTTCCCACTGTGCACCTGTCCTACCACTTGGTGTTGGCTCTGGCCTGATAGCTGCTCTTTGGATCTGAGGGTCTTTGTTAATTGTCTCTTCTAACTTCCTCCTCCTCCTCCTCCTCCTCCTCTTCCTCCTCCTCCTCCTCCTCCTCTGTCTCCTCCTCGTCCCTCCTCTTCCTCTTTCTCCTCCTCCTCCTCCTCCTCTTTCTCCTCCTCCTCCTCCTCCTCTTTCTCCTCCTCCTCCTCCTCTTTCTCCGCCTCCTCCTCCTCTTTCTCCTCCTCCTCCTCCTCTTTCTCTTCCTCCTTCTCCTCTTTTGTCTTGTGCTTCCTCTTAGAGATTTGGCTCTGAACCCCAACAGTCTCTCCAGCTGCCTAGCACACCCTGGTTCAGTGTCAGATTCAAATATTTGCTATTGTTCTAGAGTTACAGTGGAAATTTTCAATGGCTTTGTCTTATAGACAGAGAAACAGGTCCCAAGGAGTCAAGGACTTGCTCAAGTTCATCCGGCAACTCTGGGGAGGCTGCCGAGGGTGGCGGTTATAACTCAAGTGCTGAGGTTCTGGAGACTGGTGTCCACCTCTTAAAACTTCTATCATGTTAGACAAGTCATTTCAACTCTCTGGGCCTCGGTTTCCATCTGTGTAGAGGGAGTAACTATTTTGTGTTGCTTATCTCATGAGGGTGTCCTAAACCACGTTCTGATAGCATCCTTGAGGCTTTGCCATCACAGACCTGGCCTATGGGAATGGCAAATGCTGTTGCGGGATGGCTATTGCTCCCAAAGTCTTTGGTATTGACTGAGGACTGTGGAAGGTGAAGAAATGTTGGTGATGACTAATAATTCAACGAACTTGTTTTGAAATGCTTAATTTTTGAGGGCAGTCACAATGATACATCTATTTCTAATTTTGAGAGCTTTATATGGCACCAACGTGTGCTCAATACAAATATTAAGCATTTGCTCAAAACAATGACAGCCATCTTGTATGTATCTTGTATGTAACACTCTGCAGGGGGCCCGTGGATCGGCTGGTAAGTGTATAAGTGAAATGGGGCAGCCAGTGCTGCTCAGATAAGGCAGCAGAGGAGTCTACAGAGCTCTGAATGGAGAGAGGGTTGGAAAGAGCAGGCCTCCTCATCTCAGAATTAAGGTGGCCGGTTGGGGCAGAGGTGGGTGGAGGCAGTGGAAGGCTGAGACCAGAGCTAGCTGCAGTTCTTCTGTGTTGCTTCCTGGAGGACGCTGGGGAATGGGGAGGCTGGAAGGCTGGGGGCAATGGAAGGGGCGTACCTGGCCATGCTGCCTGTTTTCTTCTCTTCATGGACCATTGCCCCATTCCTTTGCAGGAGATGTCCTGCAGTTGTCCTGGAATGAAACCCAAGCCAGAGATATCTCAGAGAAGCTTCTAGACATGTTAGTTGGTATCTCACAGCTCACTCACAGGAACCACAATAGTAAGGCATTTTAGGGGATTGGCTGGGCTTTCTCAGGACTTGATTATGTCTTGTCTGGGAGTGGGTGGATGGGCGAGAATCCTAAAGAGCTCACTTGTTGGTCACTCCCAGGAACTATCCTGAGTCCTTAGGCAAAGGGAGGTTCTTCTAAAAAAGAAAAAGAGAAAAATCTAGAAGAAGAGGGGAGAGAAAGTACAGTGAGAGAAGACATGTGCCCCACTCCTTACCTCCCATTGTGGGAATGGAGACACTCGGAGAGCTCCCAAGGCTCTGGGAAGGGAGAGATGTAGCCTTCAGGGAGCCTACAGTCTTGGGTGAGGGTCTCCTACTTCTACCTCTGGAGAGATCTCACCTGGAAGAGAGAGTTACATTCCATTTTTTAGGAAACTTCCTGTGGGCTCTGGAGTCCCTAGTTGAGAAGGCTGGCAGAAATTTCTTCCTAATCACCATTCTGAATGAAGTCTATGATCAAAGACACAGATAGAGGTCCAGGGGCCAATGCCAGGATGGGAAATGAATTCTAAGGCATCCATGCTAAGTTGCTTCAAGATAAGGCAGTTTAGAATGTTGCCTGGAGATACTTTCTGAAGGAGGGGAGATCACACACAGGCAAGAGAGAAGTTGAAGACCAGGGAAATGTGAGAGAAGAATAGGGAAGGAGGCAACTTGACAATGTGGAGTGCAGCATGTCTGGGTAGTTGTTTAGCCTAAATAGGGCCATGAAGATGAGAAAGGGAGGCTGTGGGTGGAGGAGGCCTCCCTCTGGGCTCCTACCCCATTGTGGGGCAGGGCAGAGCCCTGGATAGGGCCTGTCCCATGTCATCCTGTGATCTCTTTGACAGGCATTCCCACCATAATCTCTCGCAAGGAGTGGGAGGCGAGACCACTCACCTGCACAGCCCTGCTGAGCCCACCTGTGGCCTACCTCATCACGGAGCAGCTCATGGGGATGGAGTGCCAGGAACAGAACTCTTGCAGCCAGAAGCTGCGGGTGCTACAGTCTCATTCTGTCCATAACAAAGGCTGGTGTGATATGGCCTTCAAGTAAGAGGCTGGTCAGCCCCATTCGAAAGTTACTTCATTTAAGGGCTCTATTTTCCCTCCTCGGTTTCCCTGATTTTTTTTTTTTCTGGGCTTTATTGATGCTGCTTTAATGATGAATAAAAAGTATTTTTTTTTAAAAAAAGAAAAACAAAACCCATAGTCCTTCAGAGGCTATGAGGAGGACCTGCTAAGAGCCATTTGCTTACACAGAAACTTCTGAACTCTGGAAAAGAAGCTGGGAAGGTTAGATGGACAATACCTATAGTCCCTGTCTGAGAACTTGTCAAGCCTTGCAGTTCACAGATCTGAATATCACCTAAATCAAATATCACCTAATTAGGCCCTTCCCGCTCCTCAGAGGAGTGAATGGATAGGAGAAACATTGCCACCTTATTTCACAAGGGAGAATGCCACAGTCTAGGGGATCTCAAGAATTTGTTTAAAATGACTCAGAGCAAGGAAGCATGGACTATGAGTAATGTCAGAGACTGCCTGTTAGTCCAGCTCTGTGAAGGCCAGTACCCACTTAGTCCACGACCCTGGGAAACACTTTCCCGTTTGTTACCCAGAGGAACCACCTTACCAAAGAGGTGGAGGTGGGGTATATAGGGAAGAGTAGGCCTTGGAACAGGTGGGAGAAGAGTCACGTGTCAAAATGAACCTGAAGACGAACGATTCCTGCCTTGTGCATTGTATATCTATCTACTGGGAAGACTATAATAGAGACCTAGAAGCTTCTCTTCTCATTTAGACTCATGAGTGAGGATACATGCGTGCGCACGTGCACACACACACACACACACACACACACACACACACACATGCTTATATATGAGAATATATATGTGAGTATGTATATACAGATCCTCATATAAATATACTACATTATATCAAATATTTGAGAAAGATTAGAAATGGCATTTTTTGTCCACAAAAAGTGACTTCTGATTTATTCATTTTGCACTCGTGCCCTTTAAATTTATTTTCCACAGAAATAACTAAGAGCATCTGGAGGCTCTGTTTATAGCCACCAGGATCATCTGCAGGCCCTGTATTTAGGATCTCTGCTGCTCTGTTGGTGTCACTGTAGTGTTACCTGCTTCAGGGTAATTAAGTGTTTCTAATTGACTGTGCCTCTGAGTGAGGTTTCTGCAGAGATGACTCAATATTCAGTGCAGCTGTGTTCACATTGGGCTAACCAGAGGCAGCTGCATTGTGACAGAGGAATCTGCTGGAAGTAATGGTGGCCAAGCCAATGAGATACGAGATCTTTGTGCCCCATTCCCATTCCCCAGTGTGAGGTGGGAAGTTGGCCTGACTCAGTGTGGGGGTCTTTACTTGACCTCCAGGAAATATCCCTTGTGTTCAGTTTGCTTTGGAAACTCATGATCTAGTAAAAGCCGATATGTAAACAGTCATGAAGACATCAGTTTTGAAGCCATCTAGAAGGTGGAGGATGAGAAATCATAAAGAGACAGAAATGAAGAAGGAATAAATGGGGAAAATAAAAGAGTATGTATATCACACTTAAAAAGAAACTGAAGAGCAGATGATGTTCTAAATACACTTCTGTGATAATGAAGAGCTTATGGGAATTACAATGGAAAAACTAAAGAAAAAGTAAAAATAACACAAATTCTGAATTTTAGGGTAATGTTTTAAAGAATGTTCAAGTGCTTCATCCTGTAATGTAAAAAGGTGATGAGTTAATTCTTGGGCCCTTGAAAATGTTGAACTAAGGTCCTCACATCCTTAGTAATCACACATTCAAATTCTACCTTGAATCAAAAAAGTATTTTTTAAAGTAAGATCCTGGAAAAGGCATTCAAACAGTCATAGCCAAAAATGAAGTGTATTCTCAGGTCTATTGGTTTAAATTTTGTTTTTTTTTTTTCTGCTCCATATTCTTATACTATTAAAGAATAGTACTTATTTGTGAACATCAAAGACCCTGTTTCCCTTTTAAGGATCAGTGAGAAGGATTTTCTTACAGAGATTTACCACTAAACCAATATTTCCTTGCTTGGCAGCTTCCTGGTTGGGGATGATGGCAGGGTGTATGAAGGTGTTGGCTGGCACGTCCAAGGTTTGCACACTCAAGGATACAACAATGTCTCCCTGGGCATTGCCTTTTTTGGCAATAAGATAGGTAATGGTCATTTCCCTGTGGACTCTTGTAATTACTTTTATTGCTTCAGCCTACATCATACTTGTCCCCTTTTATACCTTCTCTTGAAGCTCTTTGCTCATTAGATTCTATGACATGTATTTTTCTTGTCCTTTCTTTTTGTGGTCTGCACTCTGATGTTGCTGACGCCACAGTGGGCGTTGCTTGGGTTTACTGTTAGTCCCACCTGGAGTCTGGATGTTCACAGTGATGCTTTGGATGGTGGGTGGGTGAGGGCAGACAAAACAGGGCTTATTTCTTCTTCTAGTGTCTTCTGTTGGTAGAAACTAGCAGGAATCCAGCAGGCAAGTAAGTTGGGACATAGAGTTTGCAGGGGTCAACAACAGAACATATAAACAAAAAACAGTAGAGTTGTGTGCGGGAAGGATGGAGTTGAGAGATTACAGATAACTTGTACCTGCAAGTATCTGCAGTTGATGATTGGGTTAGGAATAACCTTTATCTTAGAGGGGTTCTGTGAGGATTGTGTGGGCTAGTGGACATAAAGAATGTACTACATGCCCAATTATGGCAACTACTCAATATATATATTGTCAGTCTCCCCTGTACCCATACCAAGGTATACCTGAGTTGGTCCAGTGAGTCTCCCTCTGCATGTGCCTTTTATTTCCTCTTGGCCCTTCTACCTGTAGATGGATACTGTTAGGTTGGCTCTTGGAAGAGGTTGCCAATATTGGCTGCTGAGAGCTCTGATGGATAGTTCTTGTCTTTTAGACCTTCTGTCATGACCCTTGAGGCTATTTTCTATCTTCCTACCCATCAGCCACTCACTCAGGCAGTCATACCACTCCTTTGTCTGGTATATAGTACAATTTACTAATAGTTCTATGTCCATGTTATCTTCTCTAAAGGTAGCAGTCCAAGCCCTGCTGCCTTAGCTGCAGCAGAGGGTCTGGTCTTCTATGCCATACAGATGGGTCACCTGTCACCCAGGTATGTTCAGCCACTCCTCTTGAAAGAAAAGAACTGCTTGGCCCCTACAAATCCAAAGACACCTAAGAAAGGTAAGACCTTAATTTCTCTTCATCCTGCTTCTTTCTTACCCCCTGCAGCCCCATTTGTGAATATTCTTTTCTGGTTAGATTCTTTTCTTTCATTTTTATTTTTTATTGGTTACAGTTACATAAGTCAGGTAAGGTAATGAGTCGTTGAGTATTGTCACCTCTTCCCTCATTGGAGTACATTTCTTTTTGGACAGTGTCACGCCTTCCCTTACTCTCTCCCAGTTTTTCTCTCCCTTCCTCACCCACACGTTGTATAGTGTCTAGTGAGTCCAGCTGCATTGGTTTACCCTTTGTCTCCTGAGGGACTCTATGTGCTTCTTAAACCAAGAACAACTCATGCCTGGAAGATTCTGAAAGGGCACTTTCCTGACTTTTTCTCCACCTGCTCCCACCCTGCTCAGTATGATACTATGATACTGCCACAGATTCATTCTTAACACAAATATACATGTACCCAGATTTAAATTCAACAAATAAATGGATCAACCAATAATGATTGACCAGCGGGTGTTCCAGGTACTGAGTGAGCATACAGCTGTGGAGAATATAGATAAAACCCTCCACCTGTAGGGAGGTTATGCTTCAGTGAGTAAAGTCTGGAAATGAGCAAATGGTAGGTGAAATATTTATGTTGTTTGATAGCATGGAGGAGATGGAGAAAAATGAGGCATACGAATGGAGTGATGTCAATATATTTCTTTTTTCTTTTCTCCTTTCTTTCTTTCTTTCTTTCTTTCTTTCTTTCTTTCTTTCTTTCTTTCTTTCTTTCTTTCTTTCTTTCTTTCTTTCTTTCTTTCTTTCTTTCTTTCTTTCCTTCCTTCCTTCCTTCCTTCTTTCTCTCCTTCCTTCCTTCTTTCTTTGTTCCTTTCTTTCTTTTTGTCGGCCGTGGGACTTGAACTCTGGGCCTGAGCGCTGTCTCTCAGTTCTTCAGCTCCACCACTTGAGCTACAGCACCACTTCCAATATATTTCTTTTTTCAAATTTTATTTTATTGTAAAGATGCTGTGCAGAGGGGTTACAGTTACATGAAGAAGGCAATGAGTACATTTCTTGTCGAGCATTATTACCCCTTCCCTTGTTGTTCTCCCACTATTCCTTCCCTCCCTCACCTCACCCGCTCCTCCCCCCAGCCTGGAAGTTGTAAAGTTCATTTCCAATATACTGTCTTGTGGGTATCATTGTTGTAATGGGTCATCCTGTGTCCTTCTTTCGGGTTTTAAGTGAAATGAACCCCAAGATAGGGACACAAAGGTCTTTGTTGTTGTTTTAAATGTACTATGTGATTTTTTTGTTTCCTTTGTATGTTCTTTCCCCTATGGTATATCCCCTGTTGTCACTGTACTTGATTTTTGTACCCTGCATCTTGTATATACAGTTGTCTAATTTGGGAAGGGGAAGGGGAATAACTTAACATCAATGTATTTCTATAGTTGTGTACACTGTGTACACACACACACACACACACATTCACATACTTTTCTAAGGGGAAAAGCTAGCCAGCCTGTCATATGGTCTGTGATAGAAAATGGCTTGAATTCACATATTCTTTTTTTTTGTTGCTGTTGGTCATGGGGCTTGAACTCAGGACCTGGATGCTGTCCCAGAGTGTCTTTGCTCAAGGCTAGTGCTCTTCCACTTTGAGCCACAGCGCTATTTCAGGTTTTATTCTGGTGACAAATTGGAGATAAGAGTCTCATGAACTTTCTTGCCTGGGCTGACTTCCAACTGTGATCCTCAGATTTCAGCCTCCTGAGTAGCTGGGATTATAGGCATCAGCCACTAGGCATCTGGATTCACATTCTTCTTAGAAGAATGAATCTTCTAAGAACTTGAGCAATGAAAATGATGCACTGTTTTGGAGAGAGCCAGCAGCAAATTACAACCAAAAAAAATAATGAGTATTTTTAGTGAGTGTCACTATTGCTGTTAGAATTAGCCTTTTCCTAAAACTCAACTATACCTTTAGACATTGGGTTTTTAAACTTATTAATCTCTAAATAGAGGTTTACTGGCTTTAGATGGCCACTATCCATAAAGTGTTAATTCCTCAACATTTATAGAATCTTTACAGATTTCCACATATTTCCATATATATGCGATCAATTTAAAGAGTAAGCAGATTTCTGTGTATCGTTCTTGTTCCATAATACCCATGTAAACATACACTTAGATTTTTGGAGAAAATAACCACTATTCTTTCTGACTCATGGGTCTGTTCCCTTCTGTACACACCCTAGTTTCTACAGTTATCAGAATCCTGTCCCTTGGCTCCAGTGTTCTGACCCAGGAGTGGTGGGCAGGGATGCAGTCCCCCAGCCTTCCTGGGGACTTTCCACAGTGGGCTGGATTAGGAAGCATCTCCCTATGAGTAGGGAGCTGGAGGAGTATCTCAGAGTGGCCAGGAGATCCCTGGTACTCAAGAGTGACACAATCCCTCCCAAGAAGGGGAGCTGGGGAACTTCCTACTCAATGGCTCAGCTCACACACAACACTGCTATAGGTTTGGCTTTTAAAGACCTCAAATCAGAATTCTCCTGCAGTGAAGTTCATGATAGGATGTTTCCATGAGTACTGGCTGTTGTGGAGAGACTGAGGCATAATAACCCAGCCTGCGGATGTGAGATGTTCACAAGAGGCATGGACCAATTCCTATTTCCATTTCCTTCACCTCAGCTTGCCCCCACATCACCCCACGATCTACTTGGGAAGCCAGAGAGACACACTGCCCTCAGATGCTTCTCCCAGCCAAATACGTCATCATCATCCACACTGCTGGGACAAGCTGCAATGTGTCCACCGCCTGCCAGATCAACATCAGAAATACCCAGTCTTTTCACATGGACAAGCAAGGCTTTTGTGACATTGGCTATCAGTAAGTAGAATCAGTGGAAACATAGCCCCTTTCTTCTTTAGGGCTGTGGAAAAGAAGGCTGGAGGAGTCCTTTTGCCATGCCAAGCACTTTGCATAGGCACCATATTTTATTCTTGTGGAACTCTAGACTGAGTATCATTTATAGCACAGCTAGGATTAGTTAATCCTTTTGGGAATGTTCTCCACATGTGGCTGGGAAGAATCTGAAGAGAAGGCATAAAGAAAGCCATCGTTATAAAGCAAGACTATGAGATCCCTCAGGAAGGCTATTGAAGGGAAGGGATGTGCCTATTTATGCAGCCCCTTCTAAGCAATCAAGAGTCAAAGGTCCTGTTTACTGCTACCTCCATCTAGCCCAATCCCTGCCTTACTCTCTGTGATGTTAGAATCCTGAGAGTCCTCAGTGATTTATCATGCTTATAGATAGGAACTTGTAACTTCTCTGGGCCTCTTTTTTTTTTTTTTTTGGCTTATTTCTACAACAGAACACATAATACATTTCCTGATTGTAGACAGTGAGTGAGATCAAAGTATTCTCTTTTGAGAATATTTTTAGAAACAAAACCATATTAAAGTAATGTAATAGCAGACGCAAGTTGGGAGATGCCTTGAATGTTTCACAGAAGGGTTTTAGGTTATTTATTTAGGACTCATCCACAGCAAATTTTGGTGTCTTGGATTGGTTTATTTCTGCAGATGTGTTATTGCCCTTCTGGATGGCTTTCTCATCTCAGCTCCTGTTTATAAGCAGCTTTTGCATACAGACAAAAATCTGCCTCATTTTGCAGGACTTTTATAGGTTTGGCTGCAGTTACTTAGCTCAGATAACAGAGAATTGACGACAAATGTAGAAATCCCAAATGGGAACGATCAGAAGCTTGTTTTCCACTTCAGTCTTCAGAGGCTGTACTTCTCTTTCAAAACCTGCTACGCAATCTATACCCACTCCAGCGGCATGATGTTCAGGATATCGACCGCAACCAGGACAAAACACCCATTCGCACATCATTAGTAACTTCGTAGGCCATTTTATTGGGTGTCTGTTACGTCCTGCATGCTAGGCAAGGAAGATATGGCCCCTTCCCTATGGAGTTGAGAGAAGTCATAAACAAGTAATTATAATGCACAACAACATTAAGCACTATGACAGAAGAAAAAAACCAGGCACACCTAAGATGAGCCTCCATTCAGTTCCTTGGGGGAGTGATTGGCATCGAAGAAGTGCTCCTGAAGAAAAGGCATCTATGGTGGCACATAGATAAGGTATTAAGAGTTAGTTGGGCAAAGAAGGGGGAGCATGTTCCAGGTAAAGGAGCATACCACATATTGAAGACCTGGTGTCCAGACAGCATGTATTGTGTGTGTGTGTGTGTGTGTGTGTGTGTGTGTGTGTGTGTGTGTGGTGGTCCTGGGGCTTGAAATCAGGGCTTAGCTTGAGATTGGAGAGGCCTGTGTGGAGTCATATCACCAGGACCTTGTAATTGATCCTTGAGACAAGAATAGCACCCTGTGATAGAATTTATATGCTAGAAAAACCTCTTTGAATGCCATTTTAAGAATGGTTGAGCTGGGCGCTGGTGGCTCACACCTGTAATCCTAGCTACTCAGGAGGCTGAGATGTAAGGTTCAAAGCCAGCCCAGGCAGGAAAGGCCATGAGCCTCTTATCTCCAATAAACCACTCAGAAAACTGAAAGTGGTGCTGTGGCTCAAGTGGTAGCCTTGCCCAGAGTTCAAGCCCCATGACAGGCAAAAAAGAAAGAAAGAAAGAATGAAAGAAAGAAAGAAAGAAAGAAAGAAAGAAAGAAAGAAAGAAAGAAAGAAAGAAAGAAAGAAAGAAAGAAAGAGGGCTGGGAAGGTGGCTCAGTGGTAGAGCGCTTGCCTTACATGCCTGAGGCCCTGGGTTTGATTCCCCAGCACCACATAAGCAAAAAGAAAAAAAAAGCCAGAAGTGGTGCTGTGGCTCAAGTGGTAGAGCACTAGCCTTGAGCTGAAGAGCTGAGAGACAGCGCCCAGACCCAGAGTTCAGGCCCCACGATCAGACCCCCCCCAAAAAAAAAGAAAGAAAGAAAGAAAAAGGTTGGAAGGAGGTGAAACTCTGAGTTATTGTATTAACCCAGTGACTTAAGGGATAATAGTAACTGTTTGCTGAGGGAAGTAGAGGAATTTAGGAGCTATGGAAGGGCATAGTAAGTCATGATTAATAGTTAGATGGGGTTGGGAGAAGGACAAAGTGGCATTCAGGATAGTGCCCAATGTTTTTGGTTGGTCTAGACATGTTGGATTTTTTTTTTGTCGGTCGTGGGGCTTGAGCCCTGGGCTTGAGTGCTGTTCCTCAGCTCTTCAACTCAAGGCTAGCACTCTACCACTTGAGCCACAGCACCACATCTGATTTTCTGGTGGTTTATTAGAGTTAAGAGTCTCACGGACTTTCCTGCCTGGGCTGGCTTTGAACTGTGATCTTCAGATCTCAGCCTCCTGAGTAGATAGGATTACAGGTGTGAGCCACTCATGTCCAGCAATGTGTTGGATTTTTATATATGCTAATTGAAACTATGAGAGTCAATCATTGTCCAAAGTGAGTATGTTCATCCAGACAAGAGAAGGGGCTTGAGTAGGGTCCAGAGAAGATAGCCTGGGTTTCTGAGGACACAGTGTCGAGGAAAAGCATTTGTGATGGTAGAGGGACCTGAGGGAGAGCAGCCAGAGGAGGAAAGTGCGGGCTTGTGAAAGCTTGGAAAAGACAATGTTTCAAGAGGGTAATGAACAGGGACAATGTACTGCAGAAGTAAAGTAGTGCCCACTGTACTCAGAATCAAGGAAGCCAGTAGTCACCTTAGAGAGGCCAGCTTCAGTGAAGTGGGGGGGGGATAGAGATACACTGTTTATGGACTGTGTTTTTGTATTTATTCTCTGTGAACCCTGGTCCCTAAGAGACATCCAGCTAATAGGTGATACATAGATGAAAGTATGAATTACTGATTAAAGGAATGACTGAAGCAAGTTCTCCCCAGAGTGATTCTTTGTTTTCTTTTGTCTTATCCTAGCTTCTTGGTGGGCCAGGATGGTGGAGTATATGAAGGAGTTGGCTGGCATATCCAAGGCTCTCACACCTATGGATACAATGATATTGCTCTAGGAATTGCCTTTATGGGAAACTTTGTAGGTAAGAGGGCTCTGGGTAATGGAGTACTATATGGAATGTCTCAGGAGGGTAAGACCAAGGGTGGCATGGTGGGACCGGCCAGGGCCAGTGGAGCTCTTAAGTTTAAAGCAGACTCTCAGTACAGGATGATTGTCATCAGATGCCTCTCCCAGATAGAACATTTATCCTAAGCGACCCATCCCACACCCCAGGTCCATCTGGTTGTATTTATACCCAAGGCAAACATTAGGCAAAGGAAAAAACTTTTGTAAATTTGGTACTGTTTCGGTTCTCTCTGTCTCTTTCCTTGATGATCATGATGACAGTGCTGGTGAACACAACTGCACCACAGAGAAGGATCCAGTGGGCATATCTGCTCTGGACCTGCTAAGAAGGGATGTGTCATGCAGGAGTTCTACTCTAGGGCAGCTGTTAAAATTTCTAAAAGAAACTTTGGCCAGGAAAATGGAGGAACACAATAGCCTGTTTTTTTTTTTTGTGTCTGATTGCTACAATTCATGTAAATTTGTTTCCCATGATGATGATGATGATTGATGATGATGATGATGGCTTGGGGTGGAGTAAGGAAGGAAATGGACTGGAATCCAAATGCTTGTCCCTCCTTAAGCAGGTAATCGTAAGGCCCTAATGATTGATGGGAGTAAACATGTTTTGCAGAAAAGCCTCCCAATGCAGCAGCATTGGAGGCAGCCCAGGACCTGATCCAGTGTGCTGTGCTCCAGGGGTACTTAGCCCCCAACTACCTGCTGATGGGCCACAGTGATGTGGCCAATACTCTGTCTCCTGGGAAGGCTTTGTATGACATCATCAAGACATGGCCTCACTTCAAACTCTGAGTGAGCTCAGCAACTTCGGAGGCTTCTCAACATCCCACGGGGTCTCTGTCCTCACTTCCCACCTTGGTTTAATATCCTGTATCTTCCTTCCCCTATCAGCCTCACTTTGTTCCTCTTTGCTTGGTTGGGATGCTCCTGACCTTTCCTGATGACGTTCTCCAGTGTCCCCCACCCTAGGCACTCACAGTCCTCTGAATTTGGGTCTAGCCTCCTCCCTCCTCTCCTTCCTTTATCTTTATCAGGCAGGTGAGATGTCTAGAGGTCCCTGTCACATTTCTCTTTCCCTTGGTACCTGCCCCTCTGCCTGCTATGGCTTTCCCTGTGGTCTGCCTAGCAGCTGCTAGCCCTTGTCTATTAGCCAGGCCTGGGTGTTCATCACAGGGTGCCCATTGACTTGCATAGAATTGGTTGCTATCCTTTAAGGGCTGTAGTTATTGTTGTTGTTGTTTTTTAAAATAGTAATGTCTATTTTCTCCTAGACTGTGAATGTGTCTGGGGGAGCTGCTGAGTTCTATTTATCACTGTGTCCTGTGTCAGTTCCTGAACAGTGTCTGGAATTTAGTATGTACTATAGATGTTTGTAGAAGAAATAGACACAAAATAGTACATCCTCGTGCCTGCTCACCTGGTCAGTGTGTTCCATCATCTCTTATTTGGAAGTGCTTCTGAGTAGTGCTGCAGCATTCTGTCCATCCTATTCCTTCTCAGTCTAAGTATCAGAGTTGGCTCTGGTGGCTTGTCTGTAGTGGGTGCTGTCTTTCTAGATTCCCATGCCCTTGTCTCCCTAGAGTATTCTGAAGTCTGGAGCCATATGCTTCTTTAGAGCCAGCCAGAGATATATCTGTACAAAGCAGCTCAGCCTGCTTGTGCCTGGCTAGGCTATTCTGGGCACTGGACTGAGTGAGGACATAGAACTTTGGTACTCTGCGGCCCTTTCTGTCCAGCAGGGAGTAATAAATAAATAAATAAATAGCTAGCTAGCTAGCTAGCTAGATAGGAGTGAGAAAACCTAGTGCTGTTCAACAGAAGCACACAGGCTGGATATTGTTTCACTGGGCCTAATCCAAAAAAAAAGGGAAGAAGGAAAAGGGAATAGAAGGAGAGGAGCTAGAAACATGGGCCTCCCTCACTTGGTAAATTCCTTTGATATGCATACTGTGTCTTTGTGCTTAGAATGTTCTGGCATCTCTTACTAGACAGGTTTTTAACAGCCACACATTTGCACCTCTTTGTGCTTTTCAAAGACTTCCTCCTTTTAAAAAATTCTTTTATTTTGTGTTGGTACTGGGGCCTTGAACTCAGGGCCTCCCACTCTCCCTTTCCGCTCAAGGGTGGCACGCTATATTTGAGCCACGCCTCCACTTTTGGCTATTTGTTGGTAAATTGGAGTTAAGAGCCTTCATGAGCTTCTTCTCCACACTTCTCTCTGCACCCCCACCCCTGGGCTGGCTTTCATTTGCTACCCTCAGCTCTCAGCCTCCTGAGTAGCTAGAATTATAGGCTTGAACCACCAGTGCCTGGTAGATTTCCTGCTTTGGATCTCATTGGATTAACTGTATCTGTCCTTTTCCCTTAGGTGTCTTGGGTGTGTAAGCAAGGGAAGGAATGGATTTTCTAGAATCACATAGGTCCAGAAGACTTAGTACCCCTTCTTGATTTATACAGCTAGAGGAAGATTCCTGGAACAGGAACTTTTCTACCAGAAGCTTTTGTCAACCCAGTCTTCTCATGGAGGTCAGGGCTTGGTTCAGACTTCCTGGAAGAGAATACCCCAGCACAGGTGATTTTAACAGCTCTTCCTGCAAGAAATAAGCCAAGGAGGTGAACTTAAGATGAGAAAGTCTCATGAACAAGCCATCTGCTAGGGCTTATATGTGTCCCCCAAAGTTTATGTGTTAAAAGTTGAATCCCTAATTGGCAAAAGTATTGAAAGATGAGGCTTTTAAAACATAACTAATGTATTAATGTCATTATTGTGAAAGTAGATTTGTTATAAAAATGAGTTTAGCCCGTGTTGCTTTCTCTTGCTCTGTATATGTACGTGCATGCATGCATGCACTGTCTCACCCTTCCACATTCTGACATGGCATGACCCAGTGAAGATTTTTCTCCCCAGATGTGGGCCTCTCGACTCTGGAATTTCCAGCTTCCAGACCATATGAAATAAATCTTTGTTGTTCATAAATCACCCAGTGTCAGATATTCTATTATAATAGCACAGATGGATGACTAAGTTGCCATTTTCCCTTTTGTACTGGTGCTGGGGCTTGATATTAGGGCCTAAGCCGCCATCTCTGAGCTTGTTGTACATGAGGTTAGCGCTCTACCACTTGAGCCACAGCTCTACTTCCAGTTAACTACCAAAGAGCTCTACTAAGAGTCTCATGGACTTTCCTGCTCAGGCTAGCTTTGAACTTCCATCCTCAGATCTCAGCCTCCTGAGTAGCTAGGATTACAGGCGTGAGCCACTAGTGCCCAGCAAAGCTGCCAAGTTTTATTTCTTGGCTTTCCTTCCAGTTCTTCAACATAGATGTTATTCTCCTTTTGATTTGAACATCATTTCTAGGCCTCAGGGACTCATTGGCCTACCCGAGGCTCTGCCTTAAGCAGGCTTTAGTAGGGGCACTGTAGACTGCTCAGTCTCTATTGTAAGTCATAAACTTCTCCTCCAAACCAAGTTATTACATGGTTTGGATTATTGTTTTCTCCAGATTTGTCTTATATGGATCTGAAATATGCAATTTAACTAAAATCAGAGCATGGGGCTAGTAAATACTCTAATGGGGGGCTAAGGGAATGAGGTCAAGGGGGGGGCTGGACTGACAGACAGAGGAAGGGCGGGAGAAGGCAGTCACAATTTTCAATGTATGTCTGTGAAGCTGGAACTAGGTGAATTGAGGGGATGGGTGGGGTTGGGAAACATGAAAGGGGTGATATGGATCTAGATGCATTGTACTTGCAAACTGACATGTTGAACTGTAACTCTTTTATACAGCTACTGAGGGATAATAACCATTTTCGAGGCAGAAGGCAAACTCTCAGGTAGTTCTTGGCATGCAGTTTGCCTTTTCTATGTTCTTTTCCAGAGAAACCTGTTCCTAGCTCCCCCTTACTTAGGTGGTGAGTAGCCTAAAACCTACCCGAGAGGATTGATGTGAGGATTAAATGGCTGAATATGAACAAGAGTCTTAGAATTCGCCCTCAGCATTCAATCATTGTTCCATGGAAGGGAGCTGATATCTGGGAACTTACTGTTGGTGGCGCTGTTGTGACTGTTGTTGCCAGTTGTTCCTGTGTGACACTGGCAAGGAAGATGGACTTTTGTAGGCATCTTAACCTCACTTTGTGGTTCAGGCTGAACCCCAAGCCTTGGGATGAGCTGGGAGCAGCCAGACATACCCGCAATATGGCAGGTCTGAGGAAAGATCACAACTCCCTCAGGGCCTCCTGACCTTAGAGTGAGAGGCATTCTTGAGGCCATCCATTTGGTTGTTTTCCACCATTATTGGGTGTGGGAGAGGGGAAGACTGCCAAGTTTACTTTGGCCCCAGAATAGTTTCATACCAAGCTGGTTAAAGCCCTGCATTTTACAGAAGTCTGAACCCAGGACAGGCATTGGGCCTGTTCAAATTTGTCTAGTGAGCTAACAAAGGAACTATCAGAGTCTGAGGCCTGGCATGATTCCAGTCATCACCCTGGTGGAAATCATGTTATGGCCTGACCTTCCTGGCAGGATAAAGTGAAAATGTCTCAGCATGTCATTTGGGGCTTCTATAATCTCACTGCAGTGGCTTCTTTTCCATTAAATAGGCCTCCTTGGGATGGCTTCCCATTCTGATGCCTTTACCATTTCCACAGCCTACCCATTCTTGACTGCATCAATATCATTGAAGGTGTTTTTCAAAAATGGGTTCATGGATGTAAGGGCAATCGGGCTGTGCCATGTGTGACTGCATTGATCATCAGGGTTGATTTGTGGGATCAGGGCAGTCATCCTTTTCTTCCCTAACTGCTACAGTGCATTCCTCCCCATTTTAAAAGAAGGATCATTCTCCTGTCAAGTGTGTAAGAATAGCTATGCTCCCCTGCTACAACCTTCAAACAGGATCTCAAAGAGTAATAAGGCTTTTGTGTCTCCAAACCGAAGGCGACCTCTCCTTTCACAGTGTCTACGAACTTCTTTCATCCAGGTCTCTCGGTGGCTTTCTCTGCTTCCTTTACTCTTCACCCTGGCCTCTGTGGGACTAGTGTCTGCTCCTCAATGGCTCCAACTCCACGGAGTCATGCAGGGCTAGGCACCCTGATGGGTCACCTCAGTATCTGTGCAATGAAGGGGGGGGGCGGTCTAGCAGGGAAGGGAGATGGCTTTTCCCTCCGTGGGTTTTGGATCCTTGCAACAGAGTGGAAAATCCTGGTGTCTTCTTACTGCACTGAACCCAGCCCACTGCTGTGATTTGTTAGTTTCCTCAGAGGTTCACTCCCTGTAAATTCCAGGACACCCATCTTCCCCACCCTCACTGGTGAGATCTGAGGGACAAACGTTCTCCTGCTTCTCTGTCTACCCTACCTGGGACCTTTTTAGTATGGTGGCTGGGGAGCAGATAGCCTGATGGTATCCCATATGGATGCCCCTTCATGACAGCCCACTCATTTGGGAAAAGCCTTCTTGGGGGTTCCTTTGTACCCCCTCTCCATGTGTCTTTTTGTCTAGTGGTCTCTTTGTCCCTGCTTCTCTTCCTTTCCCACCTCTTTGCCTGTCTGTCCCCCATTCTTTCTTTTGTTGCTTTACTTCTCAGTTCTTTCTATGTTCTGTCCTGTCTGTTCTCTATCTGTCCCTGCGTTTTTCTCTTCCCTAATCGGAAAGAAATTGTGGACTGGGGAGATGGTGGAGGTGCTGAGCCTTCTTCCTGTAGACACTCACCAATTATCTCCTCCGTGTCTCTGCAAATCACTTGGGCACCCTACTTTGGCTGTCAGAGGCACTGAGGAGTGGGAGAAAA